GAGAGAGAGAGAGAGAGAGAGAGAGAGAGAGAGAGAGAGAGAGAGAGAGAGAGAGAGAGAGAGAGAGAAGGGAGTCGTGGAAGGAGGATGAATGAAAGAGCAAAAGAGAAAAGGAACGGCAGGGAAAAAGGCCGCAAATTCTTTTCCAGGTCAAAGGTTCCTTTCACGTCATCTGCCGCGCGCTCGAGAGCCGGTGAAAATAAAAATGACCTCGCGAAACGTCTTTTCCCTCTCTCGCTATTTTCCAAGCCGGACAAGCTGGAGAGAACTCCCCCTCCCCTACCTTTTTCCACTTCATTTTTTCCACCACGATGGAAAACGCGCCGGCCGACAACTTCTTCTTGATTTCACCGTTGATTCGAGCGTGATTCGCGCGGCAGCCCACCGCCCTTCCCTCGAAAGAAACGTAATCACAGAGCGGAAGTGGCGGCACTCGAGCCCCATCGCTCGAGGTGAATGAAATTACCCGGTTAATTGGGGCGAAACGAAAGGAGGAAAGAAACGGCGCAACGATACGGAACGGTGTGAAAAGGAATTTTGGAACGAGGCGACTTACCGATCTCCAAGTATTTCTGGTGCACCGGATCGTATTGATCCCACGTGAGGCTCCGGAAACGGCTTTTCTCCCGGCTGGCGGGCAGAAGCGTGTCGTTTCGACCGTGGTGATCGATCACGTTCGGGTTCCTGCAACGAAAACGTAAATCGTTGTTTAGATACGTTGTTGTACGTATGTACGTGTGCGCATCGAGATCCATTCGGATCGCAGTTATACCAGTTGCCAATGTATTTCAATACCCCGTTTCCTCTTCTCCCACCATATATTGCTGGGGCGTGTTTCATCTTGGCCGAGCAAACGCGCCGTTTCAATACGCCGTTTCTCACACTTCATTTGCGCGGGCTCGAGGTAAACCGTTCGAGGAACTTTCCACGAATTTCCATCCCCTTTTCTTTCGATATTGATAAATTCCTCGTTTTAACCACGTCTTCGAGTCGTGGTGCCTCTCTACTCGCCCTGGTTAACTTTCCCATTCGTTCTCTCGCAATACCAGTTAACTCGTACGCCACGGTACGATCTTTCGAAATATTGTGCAAAAATGTATTCGAAGGATCAAGAATACCTCTTTCAAACGTAATCTTTTTTCAACGGAATCCCAATCCCACTCGGCCTCTCCCTCTACTCTCCTCTACTAATCGTCGATTCTCGTTGTTAACCTTGGCCAGTGAGACGCCGGTTCGAGAAGGCCTCGCATCGGCGAATTAACGCAACAAGTAGGAAATTGAAAGCGAATTAAGCCGCGAGCCACCGACGTGCGCTTTGTTCGCGCGGATTACCTGGAAGAACACGGCCACGTGATGTGGGGCCCGTGATTCGCGGATTCGAGACACGATCGTGGCATAATTCGCTATCGAGAACTTTGCTTGTCCGTGCATACGAGAGAAGGTGGTTCTTGTCCCGATATCGGTTTCGCCCCGTGGCTAACCCGTGCCCGGTGTTTACACGCGTCTCTTTCACTTGGATCGAGAATGGACGCACGATTGGTGGGGAATTAATCGAATCGATGCCGTAAAATTTCCGCACGAAGGAAATCGCATCAGGTTGGAATCGAATCGTTTAAAATAAGAGAACGCGGTTTTGTCGGAGAATTATTTTCTAAACATCAAACTTTTTGAAAAGGTAAAAGTGGCAGAAATGAAGTAATATACGATAAAATGGTATAAATTGTAGGAGACGTGCGTTAACGGGAGATGGAGATTTTTATTTGGCGGAGTTACGTTACTACGGTAAGGTGAAGGCTGAGAACGACGTGAGTGCACGAAACAGATAGCTAGTGGCGACCTTTTCTATTCCCAAGGGGCGCGGATCCCGGTGTCGACCGATCGAAAACAAACATGCTCTTTTTACGAGCGAGGGAACACGCGGCGAGGAAGCCGATTTTCCACCGAGAATTCGATTTCCATCGTCGAAGGGACGTCGAAACTTTTCGGACAGGTATCGATATTTAAAATGGTTCGATCGTAAAAATTCAGTTCACGGGCAAAAGGTGTATCGCTGAAATATTTTAATTATAATATTATTATTATAATATTAGAGATACGAGATAAGAGAAAACTCGATGATGAAAAATCGTTCTTTCTCTTCGAACATAATTTTTTGGATGATTACGTAAATATTTCAATTCTATAAAAAAAGAAAAATAAAATAAAAAGAAATCAAAGAGGATAGAAAATAAAGATTCTCGATCTCGGGGAAATTCCTACAAAATTTAATCGGCGGAAAACCAATCGACCGAATTCTATGACGTAGCTTGTGCTACTTCAAAAAACCATCGATCCCAATGATTCCGGCGTGATAATGGAGAATTGTGACCGCGTATTATTCAACCTTTCCGATTCCCCGAGATTTATAGCCGAGCAGGGGATAAATGTTAAATTTCGCAACGTTTGATTTTGAAGCGGTTTGATGAATCGCGCTCCCGAGCTGCAAAATATTTTCCTGCTTGGCAAATAATCGAAGGGTGGAATTGGCCTCCTGGGTGGATGGTCGCACGCCTGCGGGAAAATATTGCGCGATGCAAAACACTTGCGTCGGTTAAACTCCATACTCTCTCCGATATTTTTCTTCTCCATCAACTTCGCGAGCACTCGCCAAACAATCGGGGAAAAGATTTCGAAAATCATTAACTTCTCTAGCTTTCGTTCGCTTTGTTCTTCGGATCATGACTCGAGCCAGCAATCAGCTTTGCGAGCATTCGCCAAACAATCGGGAAAAAGATTTGGAAAAATCATTAGCCTCTCTAATTTCGTTCGCTTTGTTCTTTCGATCATGACTCGAAAATTAAATTAAAGGAATGGTAGCAGGAAACACGCGAACACTTGTCTCGGATCTCGAAAGAATCTCCATCCTCCCCGATATTTTTTCCCTCCATCAGCTTTGCGAGCACTCGAGATTTCGAAAAATCATTAGCTTCCCCAGTTTCGCTTTGTTCTTCGGATCACGATTCGAGCGAGCAATCGTGACGAAGATCAGATTTGCGAGCATTCGAGGAAAAAGAAGGGAAAGATTTCAAAAATCAATAACTTTTCCAATTTTGCTTTGTTCTTCAGATCATGACTCAAAGTTAAATTAAAGGAACGATAGCGGGAAACATACGAACACTTGTCTCGGATCTCCATCCTCTTCGATATTCTTTCCTTTATCAGCTTTGCATGCATTCGTGAAACAACAAAAGATTTCGAAAATCATCAACTTTTCCAATTTTGCTTTGTTCTTCAGATCATGACTCAAAGTTAATTAAAGGAATGACAGCGGGAAACACTTGTCTCGGATCTCGAAAGAATCTCCATCCTCCTCGATATTCTTCCCCTGCATCACAACTTTGCGAGCACTCGAGGAGAAAGATTTCGAAAAATCATTAGCTTCTCCAGTTTCGCTTCGGATCACGATTCGAGCGAGCAATCGTGACGAAGATCAGGTTTGCGAGCGGTAACGAAACAATCGTGGGAAAGATTTCGAAAAATCATTAGCTCCTCCAGTTTCGTCCGCTTTGTTCTTCGGATCATGACGAGGAAATTAAATAAGAGGAACGATAGGGGGAAACGCGCGAGGACTTGTCTCGAACGGGGAAAGAATCTTCCTTCCGCTTTAATCCTGTAATTAAAGAGGTAAATGGTAATTCTCGGACGCTCTAATTGTGCTACTCGCGTTTAAAGCACCAAGTCCCTGACCCGTTTTCGGATGAAGTATCTTTGAACAGAAGTTCCAACAGGCCGATGTACAGTCACGAATTCGGATTTAGTGGATCAAGTGCTTAAAGAGGCGCGCGTGTCACGTTGGGGTTGGGTTAAGAAGGCGGCCGTTATCGCGTTAATTTTCTCCAACAACCGAAAAGGATCTCTCGATCGAGATTTCAAAATCCTCGTCTCAACCAACCTCGTTAAATGCCCCAAAATTAGAATTGTTGTTCCGACGGAAAAACAATCCATCACGAAGAATAACGAACACTTTCAACCAAATATTCGCTACGCCGTTACTCCTTAATCAAATCGACGATATTCAATTTAACGCGAAGCGTGCACTTAACGCACACTGTTTCACGTCTAAGCATATTTCGTATTATATTCTCCTTCCGTTCGAATGAATGCAATTTCTCGAGAAACTTTTACGAGGCTTTGTCGAAAAAGTCTCGTTTCACGAACGCACGCTTGCCGAATATTAGGGCGATCCAGGTATCGTGCGACTGACACAGACGGATAGATAAACGGATGTTACAGATCCGGTAATCGCGCGGGAGTAACGATAATCCGTAAATGGGAGCGTCGCACAAAAGCTCTCGAATCCACGTAACGTCACCACGGCTATCATCCCGATATGGCTGCACTTTCGTCAAACAGAGCCACCACCGGTTTAATGCGATTTCGCGTTTCCTTCCCTCGTGATTTTAGACGGATAAGCCTATCGCGCGAAATTACCCGTGCTCCCGCGGTTCTAAGGCGATAATTTTCGCGTTGCCCTCCAGACAATTGTGCACCTCCTCTGATCAGTCTAAATGGAATATTTAGACAGGTATAATGGAGCTTGTTATCACTTGGAGACAAACGTAGGTTCAAAGGATAATTAGGAGAAGTGTGAGAGTGTTTCCAGCTCGCGCGAAACGTAAAATGGAACGTGTCTATACGAGTATCGATCGAATAATAAAAATCGCGGGTCAATTTTCTCGCAAGTGTCTTTTATTAAGTGTCATTTTCACGCAATTTCTCATAATTTATTCCTGATCGTTACTTTTCGTCGTCGATTCTTGATTTCCGAGCGCGCGTTTTTTCGTTCGATGGAATAGAAAAAAAAAAAAGAAAGAAATGGCGGGAAAAAAATGACGCGAGAACGAGTCGAATATATTTTCCCATTTATTACCGGCTTTCGAAAATACGCTCGACTTTGAAAGCGGCCGCTCGTTTTCAAGGTATTCAGGGATCTCGCGTTTCAGAAAGGCGCGATGAATTCTCTCGCCTCCATTCTTCTTCGACGTGCTGTTTTGCGACACTGAGACGTGCAGAATGAGAATTCGAGATGAACATGAAAGCTGGAAGGACGCCCCCCTCCCTCTTCTTCCCGTTCCTCGTGCAAAGAGTGGCCCTTTATCCGTTTCCCCGACGATATTTGTCGACTAACGTGGCAAACTTTTCGCAATGTCCAGAAAAGATTCGATTATATAATAAAACTTAGTTGCAAGTCAATGTAAACGTTAACAAAACTTGGGAGAGTGAATAAGATTTATAGACATTCTGCCAACAATTAATGGAATATTTAACGTTTGAGAAAGATCAATCCTCAAATTTTGATTGATTTGATTTATTTTATTTTAATTCCACGATGGATATTCGAATCTCGATATCTTCGTCGTGAGAATAAGAATTTCTTCGTGAGTTTTTTCTTTTACGCGGCATTCATTTTCAGTTAATCGTCGCGTATTCTTTCAACAGTAGGTGATCCTCGATTGTCCGGATATCTCGGAATCACGTATGAAACCGAATTCGGTTTGGCGACGATCCAAAGGGCTCGTCGAAATTGCGATGGGTCGAAGGCGATTGGCCCGTGAATAGGCAGCCGTAGAAAAGTTGGCAACCGGTAGCAGACACCTTTCGTCGAGCCTTCTTGCGGATTGTAATCCCGTAGTGGCGTGCGGCTG